GATTCATTTGAGAAGCCATATAAACAACTCGAGCTCGTGTCTCACCGGGATATCCAAACACTCGAAAACAATGTATGAAAACACTCGCGCTTCGCGCTCGTGTTTTCATACATTGTTTTCTCGTGTTTGGATATCCCGGTGAAACCATAGATATCTTATATACACTAGATAGTGCATCTAATTATTCTGAAATTCAAAAATTGAAGCCATGATTGCAGTCTCAGGTCGTTCCCATGAAATTAGAAGATTCGTATGTTTTCTATTTCTTAAACAGGGAACTTAAACATCAAGTTAACCCTATTCCAAATACGTTTTTAAAATATTGAAATGATGAAAATTATTGTTGTTTTTAAGCGTTTACTAGCAAGTGGGAACGACCAACATGGCCGCCATCTATTCAAATGGGGGTAACCGCTGGAATATTGTTGGCTTCAATTTTACTAAAAGAGATGCGCTATCTAGTGTATATAAGATATCTATGGGTGAAACACTCGCTCTCGTTGTTCATATATTACTTCACAGTTTTTCAAGCATTTTTACAAAGGTTGAAAAATCACCATCCGGTGGATAGCGCTATCCGGCTTTCGTAGAACCGGCCCCTGGTGAAATGTCAGCCGTTCCGCTAGTTGTAACCAATAATGTATTGGCGTTGTAATGCCATTGTATGCAATAAAGTATTGGGTTGTAATGGGTCTACAATTAATCCAAACGTTAATCCTAACCCTAACCCCACCTCCTAACCCTAACCCTAACTCCAACTCCTAACCCCCCCCCCCCCCCCCCCCCCTAACCCTAAAGCCGGCCTGCTACCCCTCCGGGGGAAATATCCTACCGCACCATCCACCAAGCTAAGCCAATTACATTAATAACTAAAACTTTTGTCTAATGCTTGTGATTTTGTCTTCAGTTACAACCCAATACTTTATTGCATACAATGGCATTACAACGCCAATACATTATTGGTTACAACGTGCGGAACGGGTGGAAATGTAGACTTGCTCCAAGTCTCTCTTTCACGGTCTTTCTGTATCTATCCTCTATACGTCATGTTATATACACTATAGTGGATCGATACAGAAAGACCATGTTTAGTGGATCGATACAAAAAGACCATGAAAGAGAGACTTGGAGCAAGTCTAGGTGAAATGCAATTAATGAAAAAATCTACTCTCATATAACCAATCAGATTGCAGTAATAATTTTGTCATGTATATAATAAAGAGTCGCACATTCAAAAACGCAGGATTATAAATTTCTGTAAACCGAATTTTTGACAAATTCAAAGGGGCAAAGATAAAACGATAACAAATATTTCAAAAATTTTGAGATAGTCTATTAAAAGTCGAAAACAGCAGTTTTTAATCCAGTTTCACTTCAGTTCGCCGAAGTATTAATTAAGTAACCTCTGCCACCATTTTAAGCTAGTGTTATATAAAAAAGTTTTTATACGTACTAGATAAAACATGAGCACGATCTTTATCTGACATACAAACTCAAGCCGAAGGCGAGAGTTTATGTAACAGATAAAGATCGGATGCGAATGTTTTATCGTGCTTAAAAAATGACCCATCTTATGAGTTCATTGGCAAAGTAATTTTAAAAATAAATATTGTCTAAGCTGAGAAAATCAAAGTTAAAGTTTATGTAAATCAGGACAAATCTTCATCCGATTTACAAACATTGATTAAACATTCATTTCTTTTGTATTTTCCTCGTGAATTATTAATGAATTTTTTAAATGTAAATAACGTTTTAGCTAGCTATTGGTTTTTCGTCTATAAGCTCCAACGGATCGAACTGAATTGCACAATAAGAGACAAACCTATTCTGTATTTAAGTTTTTTTTAATATTTTTCTTCAGGTGCAGCTTGTTTTTTTGTGAAACAGTTTTCGAGATATGGCTATACCTCAGGACGTTGTATTAACGACACAGGTCAAATACAGTCAAACGGCAGTTGGGGAAACTTGTCTTTTCTGGCATATGCCTACAACAGCTGTCTGGATGCAGCTGCTCAGTTTCGGTTTCGTGATAATGGTGCCATGTTGAATCTAAAAAGACAGGGATGTGTCGCTGCTTTTAATAAGCCTGCAGGATCTGGTTTTGATCTTGATATGTTGTATCTTTACGTTGACTCGGTCAGTTTAGATACAGCTGCTTGTGCTCAGAAGCCTAACGAGGGTATCTATCGTGCTATAACCCAGACACCAGAGGGAGCATTATCTGTTTATTATAAAGGGAAAGATAAAAGTTCATTTCAAACTTGGTGTGCATGGTATAGACATAGTTACCAACTTCATAAAAAATAT